GAGATGGCTGTGGAGAGGACTACACAGTTCTTGCTTTTTGGTGGGGCGAGTGGTACAAAACTGGCTGGGGAAAAGCGCAGGGCTATGGTCTTTTTAGTGGGACATAAATCCCTGCACCATGGGACACCCTCACCACAGCCCCCACTGCCAGTTCTTGGTCTCCTCAGGAAAGTCTCAGTGCTTTCCCCTTGCAAGTATCTTGTCAAACAAAGCCAAATTTCAGAATCTTGCTCCCGCTTCTGGAACTGGACTTTGCAGTATACAGGGGCCATAAATCATACACGAATGCTAAGCACCCTAAAAATACTTGAGCAATGAATTTTAAGACAGTTTAAATATGACCTGTCATTTTATTTCAGTACAATATTTTCTTCCATTTAATTATTATTTGAAGGTGAACTCAGTACCTATTTAAGGAAGTACCTATGTAGACATTTATGGTACTTTTCTCTCAGGCTATGAGACACATATAAAACAGTGGCTTCACAAAGTTAGAACAGTGAATAAAAGGTATATCATGTAAAACTTGGCTATCATCAGCCCACTTTCCCTGCTGATTTAGCAGGAGGGCTCTTTGGCAGCAAACCCTGCAGTACATCTGAGAACAGATGGATCCATCCTACCTGAAATCCAGCAGAACCAAGGAGCCACATCACCAGGCACAGTGACCCGCTCATCTCAGACTGTAGGGATGTTCCAGAAATACTGAGCATATATTTTTCACATGTTTGAAAACCATCTGAAACACTCCCTGCCAGGTTAAATAGCTGGAACATCATTTGCCATAAAGACCAGGATGCTTAGCTTTGCTTTCCCCTTCAAGGTTTGACAGATGGCTCTTATCTTAATTTTATACAGAGAGCCAGGGATTTATTTCTCCCTTTATGTAAATATCTTACTCCCCTCACAGACACTGACACACCAGTGAGATGCAGAAATAGGATTACACACTGCATGTCCTGCTCTCCCCCATCTCAGTTGCTTATTTACCAAACAACTCTCATTAATCCTCTTTACTGTGTTTACTTCCCACTTCCCTCTAGTCTTAGTGTCTTACTATTATTCAGGTACTTGCAGATGTTAAAAAAAGCTTAATAGACAGTCACCTCCAGAGCTGATTAAAATGAATTGAATTCCACTGACTGTTTTTGAATCTGCATTTATTTACACCAGATGAAGGTTTGTTAGATCTGCTGGCATTCATGGTGCACTTGCCCAAACCCAAAAATCACATAATACTGAAATTATCTGGTTTTCTCCACCCTTTGTTAGTTTATGAATTGTCTTTAGATCTCCTGCTTTTACTTCTTGATTACAGTCTTTTGGGGACAGAGTGAGAATGGCAGGTTTTTACAGAAAAGACATGGCAGAGAATTACTTGGAAGTATTCTATATTTTTGAAGCAGTTATTAATCTGCTTTTTCTATGTTTTACAGGAATCACTGGTTGTGAGATCACTTTTTTTAATCCATGAAATGTATGGAAAAGTCCTCTGCTTACACAGAGGCTGAACTCCAGACAGTAATGAAGCCTGTCCTAGAAATCTACAAATGTCAGAGATGGTGCTATTACTAATTTTTTTCTGACATGCCATGGAAAAGATTCTTAAAAGAAAATCTACATTTTTTTAAAAAAGTGGTAATACCCCTCTAACACCAAGACCATAGAAAACAGCTGTTTCACCACTGCCAAACTGAGGGTGCTTTCATCACATAACCTTGCTGCAGCACAACGTAATATCACGTGTGGTCTCCTCTGGTGCTCGATCTGTGCAGCAGCACACATCTGTACCTGGTGTGCCAGTCACGTAGTGTCCAATTCTGCAGTCACCAGTCACACACAGAGGAAATTTAGAGGTTGCTTGAAGCACCTTTGAAGTATCACTCCATATGGATCTTCCCAAAAGTTCAACCCATCTGAGTATTAAAGCTGATGGATGCAACTTGGTGAAAGTTCTCTCATGGAGCAGAGTGGTCAAATGGCTTTCAGCATTTCTTATGACCATTTCATATTGGAAGAACCTGAGTATTTCCAGGGTAGATGCAGGGATGGAGGTAGTAGCATACTTGCTTGGTTCTGGTAGTTACTATGTAGAAAGAGGCACCAATCCACTAGGTTGTATTTTATTACCAATCGCCTTAGTGCCTAAAATTGGTGATACACTGAAGTTGAGCTTTTACAAGGGAAAACAAACTACCCCAGAAGACACAATTTATATATAGATTGAATAAAAACACAGTTATGATACCTTGAGGTCACTACCTCTCTTCCTGCTACAGAAAAGCAGACATAAGAGAGTTTGACTGGGTCTGGCCCTTTGAAACCAGTAAATGAAATTTCAACTTAAGCACAATAGAATTTTTCTTTTCACTCCACATTTGATTCTTATGGAAGTGAGGGATTAATACAACAGATCCAGACTCAATGCAAATAAATTCCTGCCTGCACTTTCCTACTAAAGCATTTAACCCTTGTTACACCCTACAACCAGATGACTGCTGTTACTGCACTCTTTAGCACCTCTTCAGTGTAGGTAGGAGACAGATTTGTCAGAGGTGCTGCAGTGATAGAAGTCCCAGTTCCAGATGTGCAGGAAGGAGGGCCCAAGAGGAGTGCAGAGGAGAGCTGGTGGAATGGGGGTATGAGAAAGGACAGGGCAGAGCATGGTTATGGATCCTGAAGCTGGGAACACACTGGAGGAGCTTTTGGCTTCAGCATCACCCAGATTAATCCCCTTACTCTTTCTCCAGTCACTTCTACCTTCCAGCAAAAAACAGAGTGAAGGATTTCTCACATTAGCTAAAGCCAATTCAGCTCAACAATATGTGATAATACTGTGTTGAAGCCAGAGATGCTTTTCTTGTGAAGTGTCTGATCTTATTTCCCAGCATTTATTGATAGATATCTTTTACAGTGGATCAAGAAACCTGAACTACTGGGGAGTGCTGCCAGGCCCTTCAGGGCATTCTTTTAGCAGAACTGTTTTAGGAAGGACTCATTGATGAAAAGAAATGCTCTAGTTACCCTGTAAAATTATAACTAATACGATTTTCTTTCATAGCTGTCCATTCCACATCTGAGCAGTTTCCAGCTTAGCATTTGTCAGCAGTGTGAATGTCAAAAATAAGATCTAAGAGGAATTTTCACTATTCTCTGAGCCTAATGCCTGTTCAAGCAGCTGACTTGTAGGTTGATATTCATGCTGTTGACAAATAATGGGTGTCTTCATCAAGTATGAGTATCATTTTGCACTGAAACGAAGCATGAGACTGTATGTGAATTCTCCAAACCTTTGCAAGGCAGCTCTAGATTTCTCTCTTTAAATTTAATTTCTGTTCCTCCCATCTAGGAATCAGCATCACAACAGATTTGAAAAGCAATCCCTCATGAGGCACAAGCTGCCCTGGAGAGTTACTGCTCTCATACAAATATTTTGCAGCCTTGACACAAATCATTCACAATTTGGCAGCAGGAAGACAAATACAAATGAGCAGCAGTGATAGACCAGCAACTACAAGTGTGAGACTTTGCACTGTGCTACCAATTCAATTAGATGCCAATCTCAGTCCTCCAAAGATAATTTTTCAAAGTGCAGTTGCTAGAGTGAAAGCTTTCCAGCTCCCCCAAAATAATAAACATCCATTTTAGCTAAACTAGAATAGCAAAAGTACTTATGTAATTTTAATAAGAACTAAAATAGAGACTTTCTCTTCTTGATGGAATTCTCCCTTTATGATGCTCTTTCAAATCCTGCATAAATTTTTCAACAACCACAAAACATGTCAATGTTCCACCATTGTGATATCCCCACCGAGGCTCAACAAAAGTCTTGCAATCACGTTGCATGAACATAACATTTTTCAGGAAAATTTTTTCACTTATTTTCCTTTTCCCCTCACTCCAAAATATTATCACTCAGAAATCATGGAGTTGAAAAAAAAGGTCATTTAATCCAAGCTGAGATTCAGGTGTCACTGCAGCGTCCCATGAGAGCTATGGATGGGAATGCTACATTCTCTGCTGCAGGCTGGGTCACCTGGATATACTAATAGCTCCCAGCCAAGACCCTCACAGTATAAAACAATGAACAGCACAAACACTCAACTGTGGGGTGTTGTCAGAGCCATACTAAAAACAATGGAGGAGAAATGAACCTCCATCCATCTGGCCTACAATTCCCACAAATTACCTTCTCTTCTAAATCAACCCTTTGGACTTGTGTTTGGAACCTTAAAATGGAAATGTTAAAGTTTTGACCTTTTCCACCAGAAATATGAAATTTTAGTTAAGTGAAGAAATTATTTTTGCTCATATTTTTCTGTGTTACTGAAGTCAATACTTCCTAACTACTTGAGGTCCAGGCAAGTGCAGCTGCTGCGAAGACAGTGAGCTGAAATGTACACTGTTGTACATAGGCTTCACAGAGGCTTTTACATTAAAAGAGAAAGGTTTTGAATTTCATCTGTAGGTTATAATTTTGAAGTATGAATTAAAAGTACAGTCTGTGAATGAAAACCCACACATATTACCATAGACTTGGAGTTATAAGAGTTTGCATTAATTCGAAATGCTAAAATTAGTAATGGATCTGGGCCAAGAATTGGGCAACCCACATGTAAATTTTGAACATTACCAGAAGTAGTGTTTGAGCACAAATAATACAGTGTTTCCCTACCTCTATACTTGGCCAAAGCTCTCCACATTCACCAGCAACCTGCAGCAATTTGACTTTGGGCAAGTTCTTATTAATCTGAACTATGTAGCTCTATCAGGTTTCTAGTTTTTCTCTTCCTTATGCCCATGACTGCATTGAGCTACATCCTTTGCACATGCAGGATACAGTCCGTAAAGCGCCTTTCCAATGAAAACACACATTGGCTAAAAGATGCATTTTGTCTTTTGGATGCCTTTAAACTAAACAGACGTCATGAGAGAAGTCTTGGGTTGGCCTCTGTGGGGCTGCATTGCCCTAAGCACAGTAAAAGCATCTGGAGTCTTACCTTTTTATGGCTTTGTAGCAAATGATGACAACTACAAAGAGGAACACTAGTGTGGCGCAGCATACTGCAATGATAATAACCAGGCCTGGCCACCAGGTCTCTTCAGTGGGACAAAAGGTAGACTTGGGAGCTGTAAAAAGAGAGTGGAAAAATACATTAATTCTCCCAAATCAACAGGGTATTATCAGATATGCTTCAGTCACTCACACAGTAGCACAACACCAGGATCACAGATACATGCAAAGATGTTATTTCACATTTAGGACCCATTTCTTTCTTTTCCCCAAGCAATCCATTTCTCTTATTGGCACTAAGCATTTCTTGTCACAGTCCCCAGATGACCAAGTTCTCTGTCTCAGTGCTATCTACAACCTGGTACCCTGCACGAAGGAGAAAGGCTCAGCTCTGCTACTTGTGGGAAACATCTTCTTCCTGTGCATTCACCATCTCCAGCTGCATCAGATTTAATTTTAGAGAGGGACATTATGCTGATAAGAGCACGTTTTCAAACCCCATTAGGGGAGGTTTGTTGGGAGCCAAAGCAGTGCCTACCAATCTGTATTGTAGCTGATATTACTGTAACCTTGGAGTCAGGAAGGGGGATTTCTTCCAAAAGAATGAGTTCTATTACATTTACTAATTGCTTTCTGAGTATTATAGTTGACAAGCTTATTTTCCATCACACTACCTTTGAATTCTAAGCCAAATAGTCAAGATATGCTAACATTAAGAGAAGTTAACTTGTGGAAATAAAAACTATTATTATTACATTTTTCTTATTACTTTTAGGGATAGAATTGTCTATTTAAGTATCACCCAAAACAATAAATACTTTGTATCTGGTGGCATTTAGTTAAAATATTTTCCTTCAGGGCTATGTTCCTTTTCCCATGCTTTGAGGGGACACATTTCCTGAAGGATGGTGAGTAACAGCCAATGCCATGAGCAGTACCACTGCATCGCAGAGGGAAGAGAGAGCCTTAACACAGCCTGTGCAAACCCATAAATTCCACCTTAAGTGACATTTAATAATGAATCAGTTGATGGGACTGTCCATATCTATGTTCTCAACTAAGTAGGTGAGAGAATGAAATATAGCAAAAGGCTCTTCTGTGAGTCTCATTGTTTAATTTGATATTCTGAATGCCCAGTTATACACATCACAAATAGCTGCACTAATTAAAATATGTCATCAGTCTAGTATCATTTATTGTGATCTGACATCTCCTCTGTCTCCCGTGTTTGATTAGGAAAAGACATACACATACTCTTATATTAACACTCAATAGATTAAATAATGAATTACACAATGACTGAGAAAACTTTTCCAATTGCAAGATGCATAGAGGAGTTAACGACATTCACCCCACGGAATCTGCAGCAGCACCTTAGGAAAAGACTAGGTAAAGAAAAACTATAAGAAGCAATTAGAATAATAAACCCAACTGCTTGACAGCTAGTGGTTCCCAGCTTCCTCTTTGACTATGTTCATTCCTAGACTGCCCCAACAACTGAATTTCTACTTTATTACTATGCCAGTTGAAGAAGTCTGTTTTCAGTAAGTGATGGAACTGTTTATTGTGTCTTGATAAAGCTAATGATTTTAATATTCTCTGGAAGTTTTCAGTGCTGTAAGATTCCAGAACAGAATGCATTTCAAAGATGACAAAATGCTTGCATGAAGGAGCAGGCAGTGTCAAGGTCAACTCTACCCTCCTGGTGCTGTCCTGAAAAACACAAAAGGGAGCAGTGAAGTAAAAGGAAAAACATCGATCAGCAGGTGCCATGTAAAATTTGATGAGATCACTAAAGATGGGAGAAGTAGGGCTATCCTTGTTCTTCAAGGCAGGATCAACCAAACTAATCATAAAGCAAAACAGTGATGAGACTGGGCTGCTCCTCAGCACAAAAATGAGACTGACAAATGGCAGAGACAGGGTATAAAGCCAGTATTTATACATGTCACATGTATACACACATATACTTTATATACAGTCACATGTCTGTACACCACGTACTCCTTAATGGTTTATCATAGTATTTTTACGTGGAGAATCAACAGATATATGTGGGATTGAATAGTAAACATTACTCCTAGATGCAGTTATTAATGACAGGAAAATAAGAATAGTTAAAGTAGAAATGACTCCTAATCCAGCTGGCTCAGTTCCTCTCCCCACTGTTCCAGACTGGGCACTCAAAAAGAAGCACAAGAAATCACGCTGGAAGCTACCAAAGCCTGTTTCTTAGTGGCTTGTGGTTTCATACAGATTTTAAAATGATTTTCTATTTCTACACCTTATTAATGCAGTGCTAATCTTGTTTTCCTTTGAAATGTCCACTTCTTTTTGAATAAGCTCCCAGTTACACGTGCTTTTCTGCCTTTCTCAGTATGTGTTCACATAGCCCTCATACCCTGGCATCTCTATGTCCTTAATGCATTTCTCTTCACAATTATCCTCTGAGGAAGAGCAGAACTGCATTTAATCCCCTTATGATGATGGGAAGGTGGAGCCTGGCCTGCATGGATGACTCCTCTGTGTGCAGCTGAGAGGGAAATGCCCCAAAGAGCCAGCAAGATACCTGGGAAGAACATCTTCAGAGAGGAGCCTCCTAGTGAGTTCCACACTGAGCTCCTGGTGCTCAGGAGGGATTGATGTCCCTGTTCCCTTGGGCTGGGGCTCACAGCTTTCCCTGGGACACCCTGGGGCTGGGCAGGCTCTCTGTCCTGTGCTTGACTCCCAGATCCCAGCTTATCCCCCACACCTGGGGTCACATTGTGTCCACAGGTGACTCACAGGTGTCAATGAGCTCTCAGTGAAGAGGAATTACCCTGGGTGAGGGCACCTGCAGCACCCTCTGGCAGCTGTGCCCCTTTGCATGGAACAGCAGTGCATTTCACAGGCACACCTCAAAGAGCAAAGGCAAACACTCCTCTAAGGAGGTACCGAAATCAATACAAAACACACTGAGCAGATGTCCCACACAACCTATAACAGTGTCAGGTCCAGCTGTTTCATTGCCTTCACCTTCCATGAGGTGCAGGAAAGCAATTCTGGTTGCCTCCTTGTTTGTACCACCTCTTTCAAACGCATTACAAAACCCCAAAAGCTGTACATTTCAGAACCAAATCAGGCCCTTTCCCTTGAGTAAAGAAACAACAAGCCACATCCTGCTGTCCCTCACAGAGGTGTATCTGGGACTGTAGGACATCCCTGGGTGCCTGAAGTCCCTCTATCATCCCCACTGGGCTACTGAGAGCTGAGGGCTGGCCACGGCAGGTGCTCCCTCAGAACCCATCTCAGTCTCATGTGAGCAGCTTCAGCTGCTCAGAGCATGATTGCTTCTTGGTTTGACTCATTCCTGGCTGTTCTTCACTGCTCTCAAAATCAGCTGAATGGAGGAAATTATTTTCATAGTACAAAACAACTCAGGGAAAATTTGCTTTTTCGGCTAAACCTTGAAGTGTCGTTCTGCACATTGAACACGCTGAGTGGAAAGTGGTAGGAAAGTGATGACATTTTAAAGAAGATAAGCAGGTTGAGCTAAGTAATCACAGCCTGACATCCTGACAGAAATTCTGCAAAAATAATGATGGTCTCATTCAATTAATAAAATATTAAAGTAAATAATTGATGATAAACAGCATAGATTTAGGAAGACATCTTGTCAAACTAGATACTTTCTGAGAAGATTATTAGTTGATATACAAATGTACTAGTGCTAGTGTGATAACTACACACTGATATGACATCCAACTTAATTCCATGTGATGCTGGGGTTATGAAACTATACACACAGAGTAAGTGTGGCAGACAGAAATTGAGTTAAAAGCCAGAAAACAGGTATGTCTCAAAATCCAACTATAAATGGAAAGTCACTGCTGAAAGAATGTGGTTCTTAACAGTGACCTCCCTCTTCCCCCTCAAAATAGGGTGATGAAGACTGATGCAGTTTGCAAATGACTCGGGAATGTACTCAACTACAAATGGAGACAAACATATTTAGATTAGAAATAGGGCGATTATAATCATTAAGGATAATTAATCATTACCGTAGTTTATCATTTCTGGTTGAGTATTTAAACTAAAAACTTAGTTTAAGGTAGACTTTTTATTTTTACTTTAAGAGATCTAAATTCAGCTAAAGAGATTGGACTCAGAATAAGAATTAAATATGTAAAGAAAATGCTCTGGCTCTTTAAAATCCACATGAGTACAATGCCTTTTATCTCTTGGCCTTAAAATTTATGAAGTACAAATGCTGGTTAGGCTTACTTTTAGAGGACCATCACCTTCTCCTATTCCCAAAGGCACCAGGCCTAAATAAATAAAATGAGCAAATAACCCCATTTTGGGCCTGCAGTGGGTAGGTGGATCTAACTTATTCAAAACAAATTAATGAAAAAGTGCTTTCAGATCAAGCTGTTCAGCATCACAAAAATCTTACACCTGCTTTTTTTGACTAAGTTTGTTTTGAAGGCGCAGCATAAAGACACAGCTCTGACTCTAATGTTAGAAGGTATCTGTACACAGCTGACTCTAGCCAGAAATGTGCATACCAGAAAAGATTAGCTCAGCTATTGAGGGTTTCCCTCAGTGGCTAGGCACAAAAATAGAGGTTCTATCACTGGAAAGAATATTTCCATAAAATTCCAAGAAGTCCTCTGATTTTTTTTAAGTCAGATCTCAGCAGGTCATTCTCAAAATTGTTCTGAGCTTCCAACAAAAAACTGTAATGAAGCTGTTTTAATCTTCTGGGTTAAGCACTAAACAGTTTTGTGTATGTTGTAAAAGCAATACTTGTACTGTCTGAGACAGAATCTAGAAATAGGACTTGGAATCCTTGGATACACCACCAGGTTATCTTTAGTGGTCATGGCTGTAGTTTATAAAGTTCATAATTTCAAAATCCAGTGCTCCCATAATTTATTTTGATTAGTGTTATTACTTTCCATTACCATATGGGTTTTAGGCTAATTGCTCTTTGCATGGGAGTGCTGGGACATTAAGGAACACAACCAAGTCTGTCAGGAGACAGAAAGTGCTCTCTGAGGGGCCATGCTGAGCTGGTGCCCCTGAGCAGCTCTCGGCCCTGATGCTGGGGCAGGGAGCCTGCACCAGGGCATCC